GAGCTTGAGGGGCAGGGTCAGTGATGCACAAGGAGCTGACTAGAGGCTGTCTTGTATGAGCAGGAACAGCTGGAGTGGGGAAGGAGGAGGTGGTCATGGGGAAGATAAGCTGTTATTTGGGGAATTGAGCCATGTTGGATCAGGGAATATGATAATTTAGCAGTCTGTACTTGGGCTGGAACCTATCAATAAGCACAAGTACTAAGTGTATGGAAAGCAGTAAAACATAGGTACTTTCTGTTTTCATATAGGACACTCTATAGACATACATACAAGATCTAAAATTACAACTATTCATTTACCGAGTGTTTAGAACAGCTAAGTCATAGGCAAAAATAACTAGCAGAGGGAGTATTGCAACTGCCACTTGGTCTAAATGCGATTCTGCAGGAGTTCTGAGAAGAAAGAGGATTAAATAAGAATTCTTAGGAGACTAGGATTTTGAAAGGATGAGGAATTTGGTCATATGCATGGGGAAGAACACTTCTGTGCCTCTAGTGTACATTATAAGAAAGTAGTGGCGAGACAGAAACATATGTGATGTCTTGCTAAGAGGGCCAGGTCAGTGCATGTAGTATGCAGGGCAGAGTGAAGAATGATGGGGAAATGTTTCTTATAACAACTTTTGGGAGGCACAGAAAGTCAGGCTGAGACACTTGGCATAAATCAGGCTGCTATTCAAGAAAGTCATTGTAGAAGTTGTGCTCTGGAGAATGTCTAGAGGCAGGGCAACCAGCTAGAATGTCTCTTTTCAATCAGGAAAATGCAGCAGTTTGTGCCGTAGGCCGAACTGCAGGCTTAATTGTACCACTTTTATACACAATGAAAACAAAATAGTATCATTAATCTCTAAGGTGAGAGTGAGGTGATAAAATAGTTGTATTTTAACAGGCTTTTTCTCTATCTCAAATGAAAATGATCAGTGTTCAAAAAAGTGGTACTGAATAGAGTGGAGTAAGGAACAAATGAAAACATGTGCATGAAATTATTTTGCTAAAAAGGTGAGCCCCTGATGCACTCAGCCTTCCATAACTATCCCAGCATCAGAAGACTCTAGATTTCAGTTTACATCTTCATATTTATTTAATAACTGGCTAGACAGATTGAAATCTTAGATTTATTTATTTATTTTCCCTCTGTTTTTGTTGAGAAGAATCACACTGTGTAGTTTAGGCTGGCCTTGAACTCACCACATAGCCCAGGCTGGCCTCAAACTCATGGTAACCTTCCTGCATCACCCCCAAAGCATTGGGATTGCAGGTGTGCACCACTGTGCCTAGCCCAAATCCCAGATCTCTCGAGTGCATACCAGTGTAAATGACAGAGATATCATCAACATTATTTCTCAGAAAAAGTGCTTTCAAGTTATGCTTGGACCTGACCTTTCTTCTCATGAAAGCAAATCCACCACACACAACATCAAGAATTATGTCAATCATAGTGAAAAGACGTGACCAGGAACCTAGGCAGTACATCAGTGTGGTAATTATAAAGCTCCAGAGGAGGTAGTAATGCATTCTTGTGATGCTGATAAATTTTACAATTAGGAGGTGTTATTTAGACTGGCTTGCTTCCATAAGCCAAAAGTATAGATGTAGGACAGAGTAAATATGGGACCTGGCTGTGAAAGACATTGTAAGCTATAAAATAGTGCTTTGAATGGCAACTTGGTAATTTCAAAATAATCACCTCTTTCTTTTTTGCTTTTATAGATACTTGGCATTTTGTTGCTTCGGGAAAGGATTGAGCTATATCTGCACACGATTCATAAGGTGAGACACATGACTCACCATGGAGGGCCTTAGAGCAGGACTGAATGTGTACCAAGGCACTCTGTGTTACCCATACCATCCCCCTTTCTTTATTGTTCCCCTAGCAGGAAGAGATCTGCTTACACAACTTAAAGTGAAGTGGTTGAATTTCTAGCAGTTGTAACTATTTCCTGAAGTGCTGAACCCAAGGAGAACTCATTTTTTATCCCTTCTCATTACTTCATATTAAGCCCAGGCTGTAGCCCCATTCTTCCCATTCATTTAAATCTTTGACAAATTTCTTATCTTTATATTTCCTTTCAGTCACAAGAAATTCTTATTTCAGCCATTAAAAAATTGTTTTTAGTTCGTTGTAGTAAACCAACTCCAACTTTATTTATCTCAAAATGTTTTGGGTCATGAAAGGGCACGGCACCCTTTCACCTGTCCCCACCTCCAAGTGGGGTCAGGACTAGAGGAAATGGGAGAAAAGAACAGTTACACAGAGAAGCTCAAGGGATGTGTTGGGTGGGTACATAGTTAACTCTTTCTCTCCCATCGTGCTTTTCTATTCTATGTGTTTTCAGAGACTTTCTGCTGAGATACTTCACTGCCCCTTTCTTCATAGGATCAATGCTTATGTTCTTCTAACTCCCTGAGGTTTCTACTTTGAGGTCTTTTTTGATGCTTTCATGGTTTGAATTTCTTTAAAATCATACCAGCATGATTTCGCTCTTAGGATCTCTGTCTGGTGCCCACAGATCAAGCAGTTTTTCTCTCTCATCTGTGGGCCTATAGACTATTTCAACACAACCTTTCTTATTTTGTTCTACCGTGGGTTGGAACAACTCTAGGAATAGCCTCTTGCTTTGTGTGTGTAGTGAGGGTGGAGTTCTAACGACTGAGCAGTGTTGTCATTCTGAGCTTTATCCACAGACTATTTAAATGTATTTTTTGAGACAGGGTCTTGCTAGGGTAGGCTCAAACTTTCAGTCCTCCTACCTCAGCTTCGTAGAGTGCTAGGATTACAGGTGCACACCACTATCACTGGATGCTTCTTGCTTTTCTATAGCCTTTTTCAGGCCTGGTTATGAATGATACCATACCTATATTTTCCAAATCTGGAAACATGTCAAATTCTTCGAATAAATTTCTTGTTATACAAATGACAAGTACAAGTTAAAAATATAAATTTAAGAGTTATTTAGAATAGATGAAAATTGAAGCCATGAGAGCTTCTAGGGGAAGAATATAGATTGAACAGTAAGCAACTAGGCCTTATTGATAGCTCCATTAATTTTGTTGTGGAGGGCACCATGATCGGTTAATTGTTACTGAGAATTCCTGTGAGCTGAACCATTCTAATTATCATTCCCATATGTGGCTGTTACGGAAACTCTGCATACATTGTCTGAGACAGTTGAGTGCTGCTAATGGGCTGGAGTCACAGTAGACACTCATCTTCTCCTTTGAAACCAGGAAGCCCAATTCAATAGCAGCATCTCTTCTTTACTCGAACATAAAGGACAGTCATGTAGTCAGGTTTACATGGGAAATAATACAGGACACTCAATTTACAGGGCTATTTTATAATAGTCACCCAAAGAATCATGTACAAAGAGAGTACAGGAAATCTGTCCACATGCTAAAGACAAAAAATCAGCTGAGAACCCGGATCCCATAGCAATATCCTGAATGAGTTCAGCTGAAGACCTAGAGCCCATCACAATGCAGGCCTCCCCTCCATCAAGTCCAGCTGGAGGCCGCGGGCCCACGACAATGTCCCACACAAGTCTGTTTCATGGCTCTGAGCTGGAAAGGCCCAAAAGTAGAAGCTAGAAAGTCTATGCCAGAGGAATGAAGGATCTGTGCTAGCAGGCTGAGGGATCTGCACTAGAGCCAGGAAACAATGCTCAAAGTAAGGACCAGAGCTCCCCCAAAGTGAACTGTAGCCAATCTCAGCAACAGTGAGGTCCCAAGCTCCTTCGACAATGAGAACAGCCAAGTTAATCAGGAAATCAGCATGACAAGCTCCCCAAAGAGAACTAGCAGCTCCCTGAAAGCTTTTTTTAACAGCTACTCTTCCCCGCCAGTTCTGCCTCTTATGCTGCCAGCAGCAACCCTCAGGTGCACCTCCCAACCCAGTACCACACTGGTTCAGTTCCTCTGGGTGTAACAAGTTGACCACCATTGGCCATCCACCACGGAGAGCAACAACACTCTTTTCAAGAATGCTGACACTTGTCACTAGTGTATTTTTCAGTATCCTTTGAGACTTTCCAAAGAACAGTATATGAAAAGAAGTTGATGGACTGGTGAGATGGCTCAGTGGTCTAAAGCACCTACTTGGAACAAGCTTGGCAAAGCACAGGGACCGCGGTTCAATCCCCCAACACCACATGCCAGCCAGCCCCGCCCCCAGGTGGGCTGAGCTGGCCACACACACACACACACACACACAAACACACAAAAAATAAATAAATGTTTTAAAAAAAAAGAAAAGTTGAAAAAAAGTAATGTTTTTGTGATCTTATTGCTTTTTCTCTGAAGTATATAGTATCTGGATAGCAGATGTTTTAAATATTTCAGACATTCCACAAGATGCTGAATATATATTCATAAGTAATTCAGCTATTATCCTTGATTTCATGAAGCTTTTAGTCTGTCGGCAAAAACATATATCAAAATGGCATGTACACATCTATAATCTCAGCACTTGGGACGGTGAACTGGGGGAATGTCAAGTTTGAGGCCATCCCAGGAAACTCAGTGAGACCCTGTCTCAAAAAAAAATAAAAATAAAAATAAAAATAAACCACAATTATAAAAGATTATTTACTTATATTGAGGTTTAAAGAAGAGGTGAAGATTTGTAATAGCTATTGTTGAAACTGAGTGAGAAATAACTGAGCCATGGTGAGGGCCTGCCTGAGGCTGGAAATGACAGAGCAAAATGTGTGCTGTGTAATTTGCCCAGTTGAGTTATATAGCCAAGACTGAGAAGCAAAGAAAACCAGTGCCTGGGCATTTGCGAGATGGTTAGATGAAAAAGATAAAGGGACAAGGTCCCTGATATTGCAATGATATATGTATAATTCCTGAGGAGTTTTAATTCAGACCTAGTGCCTAGAAACCAGACCTTTTTTTGTTTCCCCAGATCCTGGTTATGGTAGCGATCCTGCTGTGTGTTTCATTACTGGTGATTTTATTCAAATTCTGGAATGAAAGATGGCTGGTAGTTGGGCTGTCGCTGAAGGTAAGCATTACCCTGTAGCTCTTGGCATTATCTGTCCTGATGTATCTAGCCTGACTCTTGACTTTGTCCCAGATCTTTGCTCCATATATACATCTGAGCTGCATAATTCTGATGGTCATCCTTTCCTGGCCTGTGACCTTCTGTGTGGCGTATTTGGAAAGAGAAGGTATGTCATACTGAGTAGAGGCTTGCCTGACCCCTCATCTCTGATTTTAGCTTGTATATTCTGCTCAGAAAAACAGACATTTGGTAGCTAGCCAACCTCATGTCTTATTTATTTATTTACTTATTTATTTTTGAGACAAAGTCTCCCTATGCTGTTCAACCTGGCCTTGACCTCACTTCGTAAGCTGGGCTGCTGGCCCTGAACCTACCTCCACCTCAGAGCACTGGGACTACAGGTGTGCAGGAGCATGCCTATCCTTTTTATTTTTTAAACAAGATCTTATTTCTCCTCCTCTTCCTCCTCCTCCTCCTCCTCCTCCTTGTGGTTGTTGCTCATGTATTTTTGTACATATGTGCTTCTATGTGGAGGGCACATTTTAGGAGACATTTCTGGGGAAGAACTGAAAGGGGACAATAATAAACTCTTCTTTTTCACTTTCTCAATTTTAGTTAGAGTCAGAAGATCCAGGGCATCATATTACAAGGAAGAAAGACTCAAGAAATGTAATATATTCACAAGACTAAGAGGTTAGAGCTGGGGACCTAGATTTGAGAATCACGGAAGCACAGGTGGTAACTTAAAAATGTTCAAATGGGTAAAATCCTCCGAATTCTAAAACAGTAAGTGCGGGCAATGGCTTGTAGTAGCAGGGATTAGGGACAGGCTCTGCATGTGAGTGCGTGTCCACACATGCTCAAGGTGAGGGACGGAAAGAGACAGGAAGGGAGAGGAAAGGGAGGCAAATGACTAATGTACTGAGCAACTATTATGAATTGGTGCTGTTTTAACAACTCTGTAAGGCTGATGTTTGCAGACAGAGAACCCTATATTCTAGAAGAGCATGAAGGCCAGAGTAGTTCAGGGTCATGTCCTTAGTCACACAGTGAGGAAACGAGAAAGCCTGGCTTTATTGATTATCAACCCAATTTCTGTCATCTAGTGCCCTTTCCTCTGTTCTGACCTGAGTGTATGTTAGAGACATTTTAACCCAATCTTTATGGGCTCTTGCGCCAGGAAGTTTCCTTAGCACTAGCTGTGCTCCTCCTGGGAAGCAGCCCCTAATGTTTCTGCTCTTCCTTCCCTGTCCATTCCCTGTTCTGTTCTCCATTATTTTTCAGTGCTAGTAATGTCACTTAATAGACAGGGCATTTAGCCAGTCCTGTACATTTATATCCAAGACCCTGAAATTAAGAAGGGATGTGCTAGAAATAGAAAGGGAGTCAGCCAACCATAGTCAGAGGAGCCCCAGGACGGGCTGTTTAAGTCGTTAGTTGTGTGGTGTAACTTTCCACCCCTCTTTTCCTTTTCTTCCACTTTCTTCTCCTTCCAACAATTTCAGCTATACAACTCACTGTTGGATTGCCCTTTGTTTTTATTCTCGTGTGTCTCTATGCAATGCCCCTGGGAATCTACTCTCCCTGCATCCAGGAGAAAACAGAGTTGGGGCCTAAGCCAGTCTTCTTCGCACACAGAGGTTCACCCATGGTAAGTCTGAGCAAGCAAAGTGAACCTGAGGATGTCCTTGATGAGTGAGCACAGGTATGCATGGGGCAAGCATGTGGCGAGAGAGGGAAGCCTCAGAAACACAGGAGCCCCAGAAAAGAGAACGGGCATGTCCCGGTGTGACAAGACAAAGGAGATGACAGCATGGTGGAACTTAAGCCCGTGTGTCCTTACTCTCAGGCATTTTTCCCTACCGTGCCCGTGTCAGATCAGACAGAGGAGAATACAAGTAGCCTCTCTGATAGCAGAGATAAAGGAACCAAGCCCTGCTTCACACAGTCTTTCCCTAGGTCCACCCTTATTATAGATGGGATTCGGGAGGAGAGGCGGAGGCGGAGGCGTCTGATCTGCTTTGTTTCCACAGGCGGGACCAGAGAATACCATGATGGCCTTTGAGAAAGCTGTTGAAGAAGGTGCCCATGGGTTGGAGACAGACGTACACCTGAGGTAGGAAAGAAGGACTTGGGGTGGAGGGAAGGCAGACTTGTGTCCAGTGCCACAGCAGAGAACCGCATGGGCCGAGCTGCAGAGAGGATGGGCCCGAGGAAGCACCTCCTGTGCGCCGCGCACACAGCTCTGCTGCCTCTGCCTTAGCAGCAGTACCGCTTCCCTCTGCGTCATCAGCCGTGGGTTCGCACACAGAAGACCACACACAATTCAAGCTTGTCCCCACTGCAAATCATACTTACCACTTCACCTTTTTTACTGCCTTAGCAATGTATTTACCAGGTATTCTCTAGATATCTACTACACTTCCTGCTGAGTGCTTAGAAGATGCAGCTGGGTAAGATGTGGCCATGCCCAAAGAGATGCTCCCAGCTAGTGGAGGAGACGTGGTATGTGTAGAGACAACATCCAGGAATAAGAAGAACTAAAGTGCAGAGGAACCATGGTGGAGGAAAGGCCAATCCTCTTCTGTGAATGTTGAATTTTGAATTGAAAAATCTATGCTCCAGCATGTGTTTGAGTTGATCCTAGAAGGAAAAATATTATGCTACCAAGCAGAGCTTGGGCAAGGAAAGCATACCAAGCAGAAGCATAAGTTTATTCAGTTATTTTAATCAGAAGTGCAAGTTTACAGATCAGTGAGATGGCCATGTGTGGAAGAGGCATGCCGTTCTAACAGAGGCAGGATCATGGAGACGGCTAAATGTGCAACGGGCAGCCAGGCAAGGCACGTCACGGGTTTAAGATGTATTTCAGACAGAATTATCAGCATACTGCAGCAGAGGGCCAAAGGACAACAAAGAGGGACTTGGATCAGAGCGTGCACAGGGACAAAAGAAATGCTCGTATGTGCCTTTGCAGCTGAGGAAATAGAAAGCTTCATTTCTGGTATGATTGTGCATGCGTGTGTGTGTGTGTGTGTGTGTGTGTGATGTGTGTACATTGCTCTTCTGCAGTCATTGTGTGAGACAAACAGCAAAAAAAAAAAGAGTTCTATTTCACAGAGAAAAAAACTATAGTGTTGCACGTAGGTCCAGAGAAAGAGCTTGCATCGCTCAGGTCGTAAGGCTCGAATGGGCATGGTAACGTCAGGACTAGCACTTGATTTTCTGACCCAGACCCTGGATTCTTTACACTACTTAACAGAGACAACCTTTCCACACAGAATATTTTGAACTGAGATTGAAGCTGGTTATCCGACAAGTCCTAGGATCACTCATGGTGGTTGCGTGTGGTGAAGGTACTGAGCCAATAAGGCCCTGGACAGTTGTCCTTCTCTATTCTCTTACTTTTGTGACTACAACTGTGATGTAGACGATCCTTCCAGCTCCTTCATTTCTCTGCTTGTTGACGCCTTCGTTTCCAGCAATCTTCTCCTCTACCTACTTCCCCCACATTCATGGTTATAGCCAAAAGCTTTACTACTGCCTCAAAATTTGGTATCCATTAGGGTTCAATCAGAGCACACTGTGCCTAAGTAATGGGCCAGTGGGGGCTTGTGGGTTAGCTCAGTTGTTTAAAGTGCCTGCTTGGGCAAACTCAGTCAGGTACAGGGGACTGTGGTTTGATCCCCAGCTCCACAAGACGCACCAGACCTGCCCTTGCGGCAGCCTGACTAGAAAGAAAAAAAAAAAAAAGTAATTTTCCATGAATAATGCAATCTCAGGAACTGCTAAGTAGTAAAATGTGGTTAGCTGCTAAAAGAGGGGAAAGATGAATACAAGAGTAGAAGATTGTGTATCATACATACCGAACTTGAAGAGAAAAGGTAACCAGTGGATCTCAGCACCAATAGATGTTGGAATTATGTGAAAAGAATTTTAAACCGGCTGTCATAAAATGGCTTCAACAATATCTAGAATATGTAAAGAACTTCTTTAACTCAGTAACAGAAGGACAACCCAATTTAAAAATTATCAAAAAACTTGGATAGATAATTCTCAGAAAATGACATGCAAATAATCAGTCATGAAAAGATAGTCCACATCATTAACTACCAAAAAAAAAAAATGCAACTCAAAACCCTGCCATAATTTAAAAATGGAAAATGACAAGTGTAGGTACAGATGCGGAAAAGTTGGGAACCTTATGCTATACACTGTTGGTAGTGATGTAAAATTTTGCAGCCACTGTGAAAACTTTGGTGTCCCCTCCAAAAGCTGAATGCACATTTGACCATTCAAGCTAGCAGGTCTGCTCCTTGATCCCCCACTCAGGAGAACTGAAATCAAGCCTGAAACAGACCCCTCTATGCCAGTGTGTACTGCAGCAAAATCCACATGGCCAAAGGATAGAAACAGCCTGAGTGTCCATCATAAAAGGGAAAACAAAATGTGGCACACACACACACACACACACACACACACACACACACACACAATGGCACAATAGTTCATCATAAATGTGAATGAAATCTTCTACAACAGGAAAGAACCTTGGAAATATTACTGAATGACACAAAACAGACAAAAATAAATATCTGATTCTATTTATCCAGAATAGGCAAATTATTAGAGAAAGAGATTAGAGAGGGACAAAAAGGGAATTGCTACTTAATAGGTAATAAAGTCAGTGTCTAGAGACATCCAGAGGGGGAAAAGTGATACACCCTAAACTTTATGGTTCATTAAACTACATGGTTCTACATGTAAAGTCATAAAACTTAAAAAAAAAAACAAAAACAAAAACAGAAAATCTTTAGTAACATAGGGTTAGGCAAGTGTCCTTAGATTTTATACCAAAGACACAGTCTACAAAAGGAAAAGTGATAAGTGGGACCCCAACAAAATGAAAATCTTTTACTTGGTGAAAAATCTTTTGCTTGACTCGAGAGAAAAATGAAAAAAATAAACACCAGACTGAGGGCCAGTAGTTTATAAATCATGTATCTGACAAAGGACTTATATCTAGGACATATAAGGAATTTTCAAAACTCAATGTTAAAATTCAAATCGTTCCATTAGAAAATGAACAAAATAAAGTGAAAATATTTCACTAAAATAATGTACAGATAGCAAATAAACATGTGAAAAGATGTTCAGTTTCATTAGCCATTAGGGAATGCAAATTAAGACACTACTCATCTGTCCAGTAGATGAATTGAAAAACAGCGAGACAAAATGTAGAGTAAGATAGCCGTGTAAGATGCCCCGCGATTGCACCTCCACTACCACACCGAAGAAACAGCCGCTCACTTATCAGGCATCTTCACAGGAGCTAAGGAAACCAGGTGAGGGACCACAGTGCCAGGTTTTAGTAAAACAATAAGAAATATACATTGAAAAAGGCAGGAATGAAAGGGTTTCCCACGTCATGCCTCCCCTAACTCTAAACAGCATAGAGAGAGTAGCCTCCTGCTTGGGGTTGGGGGGATGAGAGAATTAACCCCAGGTCCTAGGTGTGAAATCTAGTGCTGGTCCACTGGGTGAAACTTGAGGGGGCCGAGGAGATGGTTCAGTGGAATAAGCACTTCCCTGGCAAGTGCAAGGGCCTGAGTTCAATCCCCAGTTCTGCAAAAAAAAAAAAAAAAAAACACTTGAGTCAGAGAGGACTTCCATAATCCCCCCTCCCACTCTCCACTTCTGAGCTGCTAAATCAGTGTAGCTGTGAGGATAACCAACTCTCAAATCTTGGCCAATATAGAAGGAAGCAAGGCTGCTCTCTGGAGAACAGAGCATGAAAAGGTTTGCATTAAGATTTGGAGCTCAGTGCTGGGCCTATTCTTGTTTGCCAGTGTCAGGCAGAAACCAAAGGCTTCCGAACCTAGCCCGGCATTCACAGGTGGAATCCGAAGATCTGTCCCAACATCAAGAAAACTCCTGCAAACTGGAAGGACAGTTCCAAGTTTGGGATGCATCATTGTTGATCTTGGACTGAGCCTTGGGTGCTATGAAAGTCCCTAAAGCTTGAGACTCAGGTGGTGAACTTTGGTAGCTAATGGACTCTCTCATTCGCCTATCCCCCAACACTGGGCAGCACACTTATTCCCAAGCCAGTTCTTGCAGATGGAAGCTCTAGATTTGCACTGGCACCCAGCAGAGACCTGTATCCTGTTGGGTGGGACATGTATTTTGGCCTGCATCATCACTAGCTGCAGCAGGGGACTGGAAGCACTCCTGGACTATGTAGCACCTTGCAGAAGAATCAGGTGCAACCTAGCTTAACATTTTTGCCTTTGGGACAGGTCTCTTTGTGGGAGAATGAGAGAACTAATCCCAGGTCCTCTGTGTGAAATCCAGGGCAGACTTAGAGGATCCCTGTGAAAAGCCTACTGTGGGGATAACTATATTGCCTGAGGTTGGTCACCAAGACTGAATGGTAAGTTAGGCAGGACTACCTTGGGCAGTGGACCTGGAGCAGTACTCCCATCTTCAGGGGGGTATGAAAGGGCAGGGAGCACAGGACTTGGCCTTGGAACTCAGTGCTCGGCTGCTGAAACCAAACACTGTGCAGATCCCAAGAGCCGCCATCCTCAGGCCTGCCTGCAGATGGAGGCCCTGAGACAGCCCAGGCAGTGGGCAGAAACACACAGTCCCATCTGTTTCCTACGCAAGCCAGCATCACTCATCTCTGATGTCCCGGGTCCTAAGTCCAATTCAGCAGTAGCACGCCACTGTAGTGTAGGTTCAGAACCCAATAGCACTGTGGTGTTGGTGGCCACTAGCATGGAATAGAAGCCAAAGGCTTCCCATGGTGATTTGGCCCAGAACTGGGCAGAATTCAGCAGTGACTGACCACAGGATGGCGACTGTGGGTGAGGCATTGGGGCCTACCATCCCCCACACACACCAGGGAGAAGCTTGTAGGGAGGACAACTCTTTCTTGATACTCTCACAGCTCATCCAACAAAACACCAACAGAACTGGGCAAACCTGGGCACAGACTGCCCTCTGGTGCTGAAACCAGGGCAACACACCAACAGCAGACTTGTGACAAGTCACTCAGTACTGAAATACCAGGAGTGACTATAGGCTTGGGTAAAATAAACAACTTGCTTAGAA